AATGCCCGCGCGCAATTGAACATTGCCTGTTTGCTGTCGTTTTGCACAGTGGGCCAATCGTCGCGTCGGTCGTCGCAAGCGTCGAACCGGTGTGGCCTGTCATAACAAATCGACAGGCAGCGACGCCGGCTGCGACGGCGACTGCGACGCAGACTGCGCTGCCAGCTACCGGCTGCTGTGAAGATCAGCGACTGACCAGCGTTCGTTTTTGTGGGGCAGACAGACTTGAACTGTATCTGTATCTGAACGATACGAAGAGCCAGCGGCAAGCGTACGTAAACAAGTGTATAGCGGTGAACGGGCGGGTCGCGGCAAGGGGGATATGGCGGTGCGGACGAACGGTTCTCAGTGACTCGTTAAGTGCTTTTTATAACGGCGGGCGGCATCGATTTCCACGATTTCCACCTCCATTAGCGATCGATGATTGATTCGATTTCGGGAGCAAATTGCTGGAACATTTGTTGCATGCGGCGAATCTCTTATTTAATCAAATGTGGCACAGTGTCTGTGTGTCTGCGTGTGTGCGCAGCTCTCGCTCTCTAGACTGAGCGTATGTGTATGTGTGTGTGTGCGAGTGTGTGTTATTTGCTTTGCCTCAATTGACAAAGCGGCAAAAACTAACAAAAGAATTCAATTAAGAAGCGACGCGATGCTCATTTTTTGGCGTAAATTCAATTAATACGCGAAAAATACAAAAGAATATAAAATAATAAAAGAAAATATCATATATATATATATATAAAACTATAGACGCAAGCGGAATAAAATCGATAATAGTAAAAATTGCAAACACAAAAATGTGCAGAAAATCGAATAGAACCAAACGGGATAAAAATAATGGACGGGTAGTTTCAAAATAAAATAAAAATATAATGTAAACATAACTAAAATAAAATAATATATATAAGAAAAATAGATCATAATAAACGAATAGCTACAAAATAGAATAAAAACACTATATAAATATTATATATTATAAAAAAATGTTTTTTAAATAAATAAACTGCATAAATATAAAAATTTAAATAAAAATTATTAAAATAATTAATTAATAAAATGATCAATCAGATGGAATAAATTTGTGGTAATAACTCCACTAATTACTCAGAGATCAAAAACTCAAATTAAGGACAGCAGAATATAGGAGGAAACAATTTAAACTATTGTTTATAACTTTTAATATAAATTATACCTAAAACTGCAAGACGGAATAGTGTGTGGATAGATAATTAAATAATTTGTAAAATCAATAACAAACAAATTATTTTGGTGTTAAATATTTAAATAATAAGAAAAATCAATAACCAAAAGTTCGTAATAAAAGAAAATGTGTAAAATAAAATAATAAATCTGTAAAAATAAAATGAATATATAGAAAATTTATGGATATGTGCTTACGATTTATCTCATGCGGCTGCTGGTTTGCTTTGTTGTTGTTGCCGCTCTGAATACCTTAAATGTGTGTGCCACGCCCACAAATAGCTTAGACGCCCACCAATTTCATTTGTGCGTTTGGAATTTTCATTAATTCTACATTATGCCGCTGTCTTTGGCGATTTGCCTGTTAACATTTTTTTGTTGCTATTTGTTTTCTGTTATTGTTGCATTTACATGCTAAATTTTTTTTATTGCCCGCCGTAATTAGCAAATTGTTTTTATCCAGCTGCACAAATGACGTCACAAACGCAAACAAAATATCATTTAATTGTTTAGATATACATTTTTTTCGTGACTGCTTTGCCAAACAAGCGACGAGCTTTGCGAGGGCTGTTTAATAGGCAGTAATATTTGGTAATATATTTTTCATGTGCGATTTTTAACTATATTTTTTTATGCATTTTTTTTTAGATTCTTAAAAATATATTTTTGAAGCATTAAACATTGTTATAGATGTTTGACTATATATTTTTATATTTTTATTCATTAAATACTTTTAAAGATTACAAAAAAAAATTGTTATGCATTAAACATTTTTATATATATTTTTAAATAATTTTTACATAAATTAAACATTTTTATAGATTTTTAAATATACTTTTTTTTATTTAATAATTTACGGATTACAATTATTTTGAAAATATATTTGAATCAATTCCTAGAACAACTTGCTCTTTAATAATGTGTATTTGAGGCTCTTAAGTGTATCCGAGATATAAACAAAATATTTAAATATCATGAAAATAATTGTTATAATATTTTTATTTAAAGAATTTTTAATCTGTTACTTATATTTTGTACGAACTTTCCTCGCATTGAACATAAATGATAGCCGGCTCTACGCAGGAAGGGTAGAAAAAGCATTGAACGAAGGTGAACATAAAAAACTTAGGTAAAGCTTGCGGACACACTTAGTTGAGAAGTAGCTTAAGAGCTGAGCCTAAGGCGAATGATATGCGAATTGTATTCGCATAACCACAGTATACTTTTTCTTAAAAACTTGAAAAATTAAAAGTACTTTCATTTTTGAAGTTTGTGAAACAAAAAAACAGCTGAGGCTTAGCAGAAAAGCCCTTGAACTACTTTGTAATCTTTGGCTATGAGTTGAAACATGTGACTACAGTTTGTATAATTATCTCTGGCACTCAACGCATCCTTAATGGGTTTTAATTGGCTTGTGGCCCTCATTGAAATTTATGACTGCATAAATCGGAAAACTAAACAAAACTCTTATTATTTTATGAATGTTTGCTTCCTCTTTCATTTGAAAACAACATTCTCTTATGCGGCATTGCTATAATATTTGCCAACAGACAGAAAAAAACATAAAATCAAATTCCATTTTCTTTGCCATTTCATGTAAATTATTGCCACAATTTACATGTTGTGTTTGGGTGAGAATGTGTGTGCGTGTGTGTTGGTTGCGTTTTAAAATGTATGAGATTTATACAAATATTTGGCATTTTTATTAGGGGCAGTCAAAACGAGAGTGCCAAAAGTTGATGTATTTATGCTCGGCTCTTTTCTATATCTTTATAGAACATATGCATAAATAATTATTGCATTAGCCGCAATAGTTTTGACCGTTTCTCGGTGCCCCACACACGAAACGTGACACTTGGCTATCAGATTTTGCACTTGAGCGCTAATAAAAAACACGCAGCACTCGAAGGTTGCGGTTGGGGCACGTAAATACAAGTAGTTCGACACATAGTCATAAGTACGAGACAGTTCCAGTTATTAGCTTACCAGAAAAACCGTTGATCAATCGAACAGTCTGCCAGTTACACTAACCAATCGGTATGTTTTTCATGCGCTAACAACATTATGTATACTAACAGCGTTTTCTATCAACTAAGCTACTGTTACTTAACATGTGGTGTAAATGGTTCAATAAACCACTAGTTAAGTTTGTCCGTGAGAAGCAATAAACTTATGTGCATAATATCGGGACTAAATGCTATTAGAAAGTGTATTCCAGCTTCGTGGGAAACTGGGCAACGCTTTTCTTTTACGTTTCAAGCGATCTAATTGATTTTTTTTGTGTTTAAAAGTCGCTTTAGCAGCGCTCATATGTATTTATCAGCTTAATTGAACAACGAGACGCGGACAAGAAAAAAAACGAAACTCGGCATTAACACGTTTCGGGCAGTCGCGACAATTAGCGGTTAAATGATGTCAAATGCGATCAGCGTTTGTTTGTTTGCATTTATCAATGGAAACAATGTATTTAGCAGCGTATAACATGAATATAACAGTTAGCATTACAGCCGGCTGTTAGTTAGCAGCGACAGCGCAGCGCTCAAAAGCTTGCTACGGTAAATGGCAAGCGGAGCACAAAATGGCTCCCTGTGTCATCAGAACGCGTTTGAAACTCGAGCGAAGCGCACGTGCTGTCACAGAGCAGCGCCCGAATCAGAGAAAAGAGCGAATAAAAATAAAACAAAAGGAGCCCCTTACAACTGTTGTCAACAACAAGTGTGTGTGTGCGTGTTAGTGTGAGTGTTAGATAAGCGCGCTCTCGCTCTCTTCACCTGTGCTTGTGTGTTAAACTCACCACAGTGTTCAACTAGGGGACAGGCTGTGTGCGCTTTTTACAGCGTGTGAATTTATTTGCACACTCACAACGTCTTGGCGAGCACGCGAAGCCAGTTGCTCCTGCGAATTTCAGTGCGGGTGCGAGCGAGAGCGCCAAAGCGAGCGCGGCTGTGAGTGCGAGTGCAAGAGTGCCATAAAAAAAGTAAACAAACGACGTAAAGCAGCGTGCAAACAAAAAAGCCAAAAATTGACAAATGCCAAAAAAATAATAATAAAAACAAACACAAGAGCAACAACATTTTAAAGCTTTGCTTGCGGTTGTTATAACTGTTGCTAGCCCTAGACACACACACACACTCACACACATACTCGCTTTTGCATATGTTATCATATGTATTTAGCTGACCGCCTGTTAATTTAATATAAATTTTATAGATTTTTTCTATTAACGGCTAACAGCGTCGCTCGCTGCTAGGGCCCAGAGGGGCGAGTAGGGAACAGCAGCGACGAGACGTGTCTATTTAAACAAGCAAATTTGGCTCTGCAAAAAAACTAAATAATAACAAAGCATATGCAAATAAAAGAAGCAATAATAAGCCAACAAAATAAAGCGCTTTTTATAAGCACGCGCGTGCAAAAAAAAAAGAAGAAAAAACAAAAACAATGATAAATAAAAATTAAAATAAATGCAAATTATTTATATATTCAATCATAAGCGATAAAATTAATAAAAACAACAACAACAACTAATATTAAGCTAATGAACTGTGCCCATAATTAAAATAAAAGCCAATTAAGCGAAATTTTTTAATATTTTTATTGTTTCTGGCATTTGAACATGAAATTCGCGCCACGTGCATTTGCAAAATTTTAATTTTTCAACAAAATATAAATATATTAAAATATTTACAATCTTGCCGATTTTTATTTATGTGCCGTTTGTTTTGACTTTTAAAGCAATTCGAGCATAAATTAAAATTTGCATTCAATAAAATAGTATTTACTTTATACGATCTTCAGTTTCTGGCTTTCAAATTTGGCCGTCATTTTAAAATCAATAATTAAAAAGAAGAAAAACAGCAACAACAACTAAATAACTAAAGCCAAATAAATACTTAACAATAAAAGAAGAAAGAAAACGTAACAGCAAAAGAAGCCAGACAGAGCTGAAAGTGTATCAAATGAAGCAACAACAAAAAGAACAACAACCACAAGACAACCAAAACAACAATAAATTAAACCACCAATTTGTAAAGTGCAACAACTAAGCAACAACAACAACAACAATAGCAACAGCAGCAACAACAAAGCCAACAACAACTGAAGCAAACAAAGTATGTCAGAGAACAGCAGCGACAACAATGGCGACCAACAGAGCCAGGGCCAGGGTGCGGAGGGCGAGGCCGTGGGCGAAAACAAAATGAAGTCGCGTCTGCGCAAAGGAGCCCTCAAGAAGAAGAATGTCTTCAATGTCAAGGATCATTGCTTTATCGCACGCTTTTTCAAGCAGCCCACGTTCTGTTCCCACTGCAAGGATTTCATCTGGTAAGCTTTAAGTAATTAAAACTGTAGTTGGGCATGTTGCGAAATAGATAAGCTAACGTAGAAATGCTTCACTTATCGCTATTCTTGAAATTCCCAACTGGTTTTAGCATCAATGCTTACAAATAAAGCTAAGCGAGATCAGCTTAGAAAGCTTGAAAAAAGTTATTTTTTATGCTGTTTCAGTATAGAAACGCTTCAAATATTACGAAAATGTTCAACAAAATTGGAAATTTTTTCATTTTAATCTCTAAATAAATTCAAGTCTTTGAATCAAAGGGGTAAGAGCTCAAAGTTTCTATTATTTGATATAAAAGCTTTCTAAATAATTTTAAAACCCTATTTAAACTTTGCTCCTAACAATACATATATATAAATCTGCATTTCTATGTTGTTTTAAGCGACCTTTCCATTTTCGAAATCTTTATGTATCTGGCTCAAAGTCGGGGTTTAGTTTGTTAAAACATAACTAAAAAAGGATTGTTTTATTATATAACGGAAAAATATAAATTTAACAAAATTGTTTTTTCATTTTTGTTTTTAATAAACTAAACCTTGGACCTCGAGTCAGCTAAATATATACTATATATAAATTTCATATAAAAGTACACTAGAAAGCTTTTCTATGAAAATAATTAAAAACAAACAAAATTTTTAACTTAACCCGTTTAACTTAGAGACTTGTGTTTATTTTGAGACTAAAGTTAAAAACTTGTCAATGTTCTGAAAATTTTCTATATATCTATTATTAATAAACAAATTAAACACAACAAGAGCTCAATATGGTTAAGTTTCTTAACTGCATTTTTAAAACTATTTGTGATTCATTAATAAAAGTCGGTAAAACAATCAAAAAGTTAACTCTTCTTAAAAGACTTTAAGACTATAGACATACATACGTTAAGATTTTGCGAATTGGGAGAGAAATTAGCGCAATGGCATTTCTCAGTTTTCCTTTCATAGCAGATTAAACACTATATTGAATATTCAGTATTATTATACTGAGTATTATTGTATTGAATTTATTTTCTAAAACAGCACAAAACCTTAATCTATAGGACTTTTTTGTAAAAATAATATAAAAAAAAAAAATTTAGTATATATTATTTTAAATCCAAAATTCTGAAAATAAGTTGAAGTGTTAGCAAAAATCTTTGTTTCCAAACTTGACTGGGAAATTCTGTAGCTCTCTACATTTCATTATAACATATATATTGACATATATACTATCGCTAAAATCCCAAAAAAAAAAACAGATAGAGCCCAGAATTTTCCTTTAAAGAGACGCTTAGCCTAAACTAAAACATTGCAGATTTGAAAGCTTGTTCGGCTTTTGCTATTGCTTGTTTTAAAATAAATGTGTACCGGGTTATATTCTTTCGAATTTATGTTTTATGCGGTACACGCGACACGCGTTCGCACTTGTGGGTCTACGCCGCGGCAGCAAAATCGGCGACATAACTAAGCAGCCTACGTCAATCGATATTTTGTCTATCGACAGAGCAGCGAATGGCAGCAACTACAACAAAAACAGCCACACATTAAAGCCAAGCTAATGACATTGCAATGGAATCCAGTTGAAAAGCTCAGCAAAAGAGAATAATTGATATCAAATCGCCGAAGATTGAATGCTCTACCAAATATGCCAAATATTTCTAAACTTTATTTTCGATGCTACAGAAGATCCTATATAATACAGTTGGCCGATGTTGACACAATGTGGATTTGAAAGCTCATAAATGCTGATATTATTTCATATATATAGCATATAGCGACTCGAACCAGCTACCTTCCAACTATATACTGCCTGCAGCAAAAAGCCTAATCTATGCTTAGTTTCATCCTCTTTGCTAAGGGACTCGTTTGAATATATGAACGCATATGTCAACTCAGTTATTGATTTTGTTCAATATTATATATGCTCTGCTGACATCTTCCACATGCTTTACATATTTTATGGCCAAATAGTTATACCCACTGCAAGCGTATAAAAACGTTTTAAGGCACAACAACTTTTAGTCTGCCCTGCCTGTGTAATATTTAATTTAGGTAAAGCTCGTTCTCAAAATCTTGCCTAATCCATTGTTATGCATACAAAATAAACACAAGAAATACAAATTTTTCGGTCAACTCCAGCTCCAGTTTCGGTTCCTGTTACCTTTCCTGTGGCTCTTCCTGCTTACCTACTTTCCTTTCCGTTCGGCTTGTGGATTATGAACCAATCTCATGCGCATTAGGTTTCAGTTCCCCTGCCAGCCCATAATAATAATTTCTCGACGCCCCGCTTTGAGCGTGTTGGTACCGCAAAACCTTAGCAAATATTTGCGTAGTGCGCCAGTGAACCAATAAGATGCCACTCAACTCTATATGAAAATATTATTGTTTTGTTCTTACAGCGGCTATCAATCGGGATACGCATGGTTGTAGGTATTTCTTACGATATATATATATATATCATACAGTTAATCACACGCATTTGGTATTGCTAGTTGAGGGGCATAATTCGCATTCAGATATATCAATATCTTAACTTTTAAGTATGGGTCTGGTATTGGAATATACAAAAAAGCATCTTTAAAAGATCTTAAAGAGCATTATCTATAGACTAAAATTATATCATGAATTCGTATAATTAAACAATTGCTTGGTTTTTGATATAAAAATTGTCGATCCTGTTATAAGCTGAACAGTTTCCATTGACATAAAAGCCTGCGATCTAAAGCTCTGTCTATTAAGCTTTTGCCTTGATTTTATTTGTCACCTTGTTTCTGGGGCTTTTAATTTAAATATTACATGTTCATGGATTTCTCAGAGCCTGCCACTACCCAAAAAGGAAAACTAATTGATTGAAAAATGCATATTTAAATATTTGGCTAATTAATTAAAATTAAATGAATTGAAAACAATATTCATAGTTTGGCGACAACTTTGGTAAAAGTTTGTCAAGAGTTCGGCTCTCAGTTTAATTAATTCAAATTTAAAATACACAATTTGCTGCGAAAATGCTTTCAAATGTCAAAGGCCTAATCATTGCGCTGACAGTTAAAAGCCACACAATGAAAATGACAAGACAATTAATTGGGAAATTGCTGTTGGACTCCCGAAGAGCTGGGCACATGTCAACAAGTCCATGGGAAGCTGTGTGTCGCCCAGCATTTGAGGCGTGTCGCTGCCTCTTAGCTAATTGCCATAAAACATTTAGCCAATAATTAAATTAATTGCTGCTTAAAATGCGGCTCAACGATCTGACTATGACCAAAAAGAAGCCAGACCCGAAACGCAACTGAGCCATGTGAAACGGAGACAACAAAAGCGACAACAACGACGAGCTGAAAGATACATTTGGCGATACTTACAGATGCGTAGATGCTGTTGTTGCCGCCTATTGTCGCCCGTTCTATGGGCCAAATTGCGTACGCCTCTTTTGGCCATAAGCAGCTAATTAACAATTTGAGTTACAATTTTCGACTCGCGACTCGTTTCGGGGCCCGTTTCGGCTATTTAATTAATAGTGTTGGCTCCTTGGGTGCACACGTCACACAAAGCGTTGCAGGCACGTAGCCAAAGCAACCAAATGAGGCGCCACAGCAGGCAAGCCAGGTGCGACTAGGGAGTAGGCGCAGGGGGTAGCGGCAGTTGCCTGTGCGTCCCCAGGTGGCTAACTGTTTTGGGTGTATCAAGTGAAAATTGCCGCCGTGTTTATGCCACGAAATTTGCATAACAGAGCCGAGAAAACAACAAAAATGAAAAAAAAAAACGTAATGGTTCGACTGATGACTGATTCATAGATACCCTGTAACCAGCTTCAAGCTGCTGCAGCATGCGGTCACACTTATTTCTTTATATAAATACACGCACGACGCAAGCCGCTGCTCAGCTTCGTTTCTCAGACATGAAAAACACATTTTTATACAATGTCCATATTTATTCTCCGACTTAAATTAAATTTAGTTGGCTCAAAGATGGCATTATACCCAATATTAAGGCTATAACTAAAAAAAGGAGAGGAAATATGATACAATTTTATGGCTTAAAGATGGCAATAAGTATGTGTATATATAAACAAGGCTATATCTCCAATAGGAGAGAATCTTTCAGTTCTTATGGATCGCAATAGCCTACCTCTACAACACAAACATAATCTCGGCAACTATACATCCTTTCTCATAAATGTAATGCAGGGTATTAAAAATATATCAACTCTCATTGCCCGCACGCTGTTTTTTACTTTTGATACACTCAAGATACATTCCCATCTAAATGCACTCAGGTTAACACGATTTTTTATGGCTCAGCAGGTTGAGACGGTTGGCTGTTTTATGTTTTGACCAAATCAGATAACGAAAGTGTTTGCTAACAATTTGTTTATGAAAATGTTTGCAGCAATTTTCCCGATAGCGACTGCATCTGTGAAATTTAAAAGCAAATTCATAAATTGTAAGGTTTTATCTGCGATAAGCAAAATAATATTTCAAATGAAAATTTGATGCATGAGTAATATAAATAACGCAAATGTCAAAAAGGAAGCAAAAGCTTTTATCACAGTTATTGATTGTGCACAACAAACTGTAATGACATGAGCTGAAAGCACGGAATTTTTCGATAAATGAGAAACAGACAACAGCATTTGAATAAATGAAGAGCTTTAAGATGTCGAGATGTCGAGCCGACGTTCGGGTTCAATCTTTTATCATTTTTTAGTTTTAATCAATATTTATGTTTTAAATGAAAGAATTTTTATATTATATATTTATGTAAAATATTTAGAAAATGTATATAAAAATGTATCTATTGGAAAGGAAGAGCTTCAATGCATTTTCCTCAATTTTATATTACAGTTTTATTCTTGTTTCAAACAAGTTCTCTGATAAAACTGGGTATCGAATATCAAAAAAAAAAAAACATTAAGAGCATTTAAAAATATGAATTTCGGCTTGAGTCATGTTAATAGTTAGCATATTTAAATTAGTAAAAATATTATGAAATACATCGTTAAGCTCAGAGCTTCTGATCAAAAGCTAATTGAATCTTTTAATAGAGTTTTGTACAGTATAAAGCTGCGATTGATATCACAGCTTTCGATATTTTTGCAACGTGTGCAGTGTTCGATCTTTTGTTGCAAAGTATGAAGCTTTTGTTAAGGTAAAAGCTTTCATTCTGAAGCTGTGGCAGCGTTTAAGGACTTATAAAGCTTTTCCCAAGGGGCTTTTCCTTCAAAAGATATTTTCTTAATATATATTTATGTTTAAGTATTAATCTAAATGTACATTTTTTTTATTGGAATGTTTTTCTCAATGTCTTTTCTTCTAATTCCGTTACAGTTCCACAAATTTCTTTTTCGATCAAGAGCTTTGAAAGCTTTAAGACAGTCAATAAGAAAAAGCTTTTTTTGTTGCTCATAAATTCATAAGTTTTCATAATTTCCTGTTTTTATTTTTTAAGCTCTAAATCATTTGATTATTTTGAAATGCAAGTCACGAGTTCGTAAAGTTTTATCTGCGTAACTTTTTAACTCAATCTTAAATCTCTAGCGTGCACTTTAACGTTTTTGCTTGCGTGTTAAATTAACTCGCATTGCAAACAATTTTCTTCTTTTTTTTCGCTTTATTTTTTTTCTTTTTGTTTGCCGCACATTTTTGTTGTTGTTTTCTTTTTGTTTGCGTGCTGCAGAAATGCGCTTAATTAAAAATTGAAAAATGCAGGAAAAACAAAAATGCGCGGCAGCGGGAAAACCAGGCAAGGCAACTGCTGATCAAAAAAAAATGTAGCGTAACTGCAGGCGCGGCGCGTGGAAATTGCTTTTCCACTTCATTTGATGCGCAAACAAAAACCAACTGACAAATGAACAAATGATAAACTGTCGCATTGATAAACATTTGAAATGAGCAAACAAACGACTCGTAATTAAACTAAAATAGAAATTAATTAAAATGTAAACTGAAAAATGCGCCTCGGGAATCAAGCTATGAAATTGTGTTGTGTAATTGTCATTTTGGGCTAATCGGATAATGTCAATTGCCACGAAGCCGCAATATTTACATTTTTTAATTCGTTTAAAATAATGTTTAAAACACATTTTTCTATTAATTGTTTGTGCAACTAAAATTTCCAAGAATAAACTTTACAGCGCCAATACGAAGTATAAATACGCTTGTGGCATGTCGTGGCATATCTTACAAAATCCATATTTATAGCCAATTTTACATATGGGTGGTTTATATATATATATATATATATATATATATATATATATATATTCATATGTTCCGGGCTGAACCTAAAGTACCCGCTCCCAGTGCATAAGAATGCAAATTGCTGGACACAGCGGCAATAGAAAAAATGGGCATGCGATATACACAGTTTATAAATTTATACTTTGGTATATGCCACATATATGCAATCTGTTTGCTGGCTAGCGGGTGGGGCTGCAGGGGGTCGGGTTAAGGCCTGGGTTCAGTCGATAAGCGGCTTGTGGTCAAGGCATTTATGGCTTATGGAATATGCCTAACTAATGCGGGCACTCTTTGCCGACGCCCGGCACATAAGCCCCTTTACAAGCGAACCAGCTCAGCTAACTGGACCCAGGGACGTTGTGCTTAAGCTTAAAAGTGGCCAACACAAATAAGTAAAGCACACACACACAAGCCTGCAGGCGCAGTGACAAGTGGGAAGAAGAACTGTTAGTGGTCTACTCGGGCCTGCAAGACGAGTAGATACCCAGAACGCAGCGCTCAGCTGTTTTCTTCTACACATACATGTACAAAGACACACTCACACACGCACACCGCTTGGTGCGAAGTTTACGCTGTGGTTCTGCTTCTTATTCCTTAAGCACCACTCTATAAGAAATTCAGTCTTGAATAACTTCCGTGCTTACTATGCGAACTGTATGAAATTTTCGGTGCATAAATATGACATTAAAATGTCCGTAAATCCCAAAGTCCAAGACTAAGCTTCAAAAAATGCGTGTTCTAACAATTTTTAATTTTTAAACGGGAGGTGTTTTTCAAACAGTTACATACTCTTGATCTGTGTATACTATAGAAAAGGCTACATACCGAATTGTATGCCTATATCGAACATTAATTTTTGTTGTCCATTTTTAATCTCACATGTTAAACTGAACATTTTTTACAAACTTGATTAATATTTAATTGACAGTTGCAAATACTTGGCAAAATAATTAAATTGAACGCCAATTTTCAGTTCAATATTAATTAAATTGCCGCGGATATTGGATTATGAAATTGTTAAAGTAAATCAAAAACACAGGCAATAAATAAAAAGGCTCCGTAGCAAATGTAAAAAAATTAAGAAAAATAATTAAATATATAAAAAAAAATACATAAGTAAAGATTGTTTAACTTTTCAAATAAAAATGTATATATATATTGTATTGTTGCAAAAGCAGCTAACAAAAGCACCAAGCAACTGTCTCTGTCTGTCTGTTTGGCTGGAAAGCTTGACCTTTAACCTGTAAAGCAACCCATTTGCTTTTCTATATTAATTATATTGATTGAATTTTATGGCTGGCGACTGGCAAGTGCCTGGCAAAAATTAGCATATTGATTAATAAGTATTTGCTGTGCGGGCAAATTAAATATTTATGCAAAGTGCTTAACACACACACCCTCTCACACACACACACACACACACAAACACACACCAACACACGCACACACAAGAGTCAAACACCAGCAATTCAATTAGAGCAAATTAGCAGGCGCCGCATTTTGCGTGTAATTTAACAAATTTCTAACTAATTTCGCATTGGCATTTTGCAGGGGCTTTGGCAAACAAGGATTCCAGTGTCAAGGTATGTAAATGAACGTGCGATTACAAATCATAAGAGAGAGCTATACATAACTTTTTACTCGTTGCAGTCTGCTCTTATGTGGTGCATAAGCGTTGCCATGAATACGTCACCTTCATATGTCCCGGCAAGGATAAGGGCATTGATTCCGTAAGTGCCGCCATATAAAACACTCTACTTAACCCAAGCTTAACTTAATTACTAGGTTTTAGCTTTAAGTTGTTTGCTTTTGTACAGCATTTTCATGTGTGCGTATCCCAAATTCTTTTATAAACTTATATTCCTAAAGCGAGTAAATACATTTTTTATCCATCTTGCGCTTTTTGGTATTTTGTTTTGTTGCACTGTCAAATTTAACTGTCATTTCAGGGTTTGGGTTAAAAAAAAATATAATAAATTCCCGACTCAACCGTCATGGCTCGGCTCCTGAAGCTCCTGTCAGCTGCTTGGTTGTTGGCTTACCAAAATGTCATTTAGACTTTTTAGCATACCATGAATTTCATATTTGTGCACAGCTCCTGCTGACCCGGCTAAAACTTGTCACAAGCGCAGAGCCACAACTCGAAGTAGATGTCACGACGTTGAGAATAGCGACATTTTAGATGAACTCATGGCTGAGTTTATTTATGTTAATGATACAAATATTAACTCTATATGACAGCAGAAAAAATGAAATACAGTAAGTGCAGCTGAGCTAATTTTAAACGGGATTTAGCATAAGGTTTATTTAATTGCAATGAAGTTTAAAGGTTATTTAACATTAGGTTTATATAATTGCAATAAAGTTTGAAGGTGATTTAACATGAGGTTTATATAATTTCAATGACGTTTAAGAGTTACTTAACATGAGGTTTATTTAATTGCAATGAAGTTTGACTGTAGCAAACATGGGATAGAAGTAAAATTGAATATGTTTGAAAGTTTTTAGTTCTTAGAAAAAAATAACTTAAGAAAAAGATGGAATTTAAAATGTGTTAAATAAAAATTAAATGAGTAAAAATTAAGTGAAAAAAGTTAAAAATAAATTCACAAAATAAATTCGAACTCAAGGAAACTCTTAAAAGTTTGAAATTTTAACTCGCACATGAAAATGTTGAAAGTTTGCATACAAATAATTAAAGCTTTTGGTTAAGTTAAGCAACTTAATAAAATACGTAGAATGCAATTTAAAAAAACATAAGAAAAAGCAACAAATATTTAATACTAACCACAATTTAGACCTTAAGTTAGTTGTGCTTATTGTCCATTCAGCAATGTTTTATTGTCATCGTGCTCTCTGTTTATTTACCATAAATTGTACTTTGTATTTTCATGTACCAAACAAAAAATTATCTATCAAAATCACATCGCTCACCAAAAAACAAATATTAAAAAACTACTCCAAACTGTGGCACGTTACATGCATTAAAATTGATAAACAAAACAAACAAACAAAATATTGAAGGACTCACCAAAAACTCAGCACCATTTCGAACCATTTACATACGCAGGACCCACGTTCTGTGATCATTGTGGTTCTCTACTCTATGGCATTTACCATCAGGGTCTCAAATGTTCAGGTAAAGTCAAGACCCCAGTCTAACCTATCTAAATACCCGTTTCCAACTCTCTCACTCTCTCTCACTTTCTCTTAATCTTTGCTGCTCTTTTCTAACCTATCCTATCGCTAAGTTTCCGCTCTGTTAATGCGCTGTTAACGCGCTGTTAACTAGCTGTTAGGCCTTTAGAGCTGTCGCTAATTGCTTGCAAACCTTTTAAACTCTCTACTCTTTACCTTTCCCCCTCTATGTGTGTGTGTGTGTGCGCGTGTGGGTATGTGTGTGTGTGTGTGTATGCACATATATATTTTAAAATAATTTGTGCCCTAAATTAAGTAGCTTGCAGACTTAAAAGTTTATTATTTAGAATATTGTACAGATTTGTGTATAGCTTTACTGTTTTACATATAATGCCTAATCCCAACTACCCATGTATATATCTATCAAATTTTTAAAGCCCAGCCCGACCCAACTACTTTCTGTGTGTGTGTGTGTGTAAATTTGTGGTAATTGTTTGCAGTTAGCAAAGTTTTTGTTTTTTGTCTGCTGGCACGTGTCCAGAGCTTGTAGCTCCCCCCCCCCATTCCCCCTCCCCTCATGCCCGCTGCTAGCAGGCAATTCATTTGCATAATTATGCACAGGACAATGTACAAGCTGTATAGGATACGATACTTATATCTAAATTGTATAGAGTTTTTGAGCCGTAATATAATTAAAATTTCAATGTTTGTGCGGCTGCATGCGGGCCCTCGGCTATGCAGCTGATAAAAGCTAAGCAGAATCCGTTGAAGGCATTATGAAAATATGCAAAATTCTGGCAAACATGGCGCATAATGAGGTTACTTTCCCCGAGGGGGCAGCTGCAGATTCTGCTGCTGCTGCTGCTGCTACTACTGCTTCCTCTGTTACTTTTGTTGCTGTGCAAATATTTAATGCACTTTCGGCCGCATAAATGCAATGTTTCAACGAAAACTTTTCAGAGAGCTCAACAACAATTGTGCTTTGTCTGTGGCAGCTTTTAGATGTGTGTGGGTGGGTGAGGTAGGGAATGGGTGCCACACAGCTATGTGCGTGTATGTGTGTGTGGCCCGAGGGAAATAACTAAAGTTTTTTGAATGGGCTGCCTTTAAGTGTGTTCTCTCGGCGCGATCTCTCTTTCTCTCTCTCTATCTCTTTTATCTTCATTCGTACAAGTTTTATCAAGCGCTTTGGATGTTCGAAATAAAGTTAAGGATCGACGGTTCATAGTAAAAAATATGTTCAGGCTCGAATTGAATTCGTTGCAAAACACGTTTGAAACCTTGACTGAAACACTTTTGCCAAACATTGTAAAATGAAATTCTCTGGAGAATTAAGTGCATTGCCCAGTTGCTGAAAACGCTTTTGATGTTAAAGAGGGTTTGCCACTAAAGTGCCAATAAACGTTACCTGTTCTGCTAACTAACAATTGAGAGCCACCCAAAACAATAGGAGAGCACTTCTAGACCCCAAACAGTCTACTAATGATAATTTGCGCAGCCAAAGTCAAATGCTGTTGGAACCTTGGCAAGTGCCCTCGTGTTAGGTATTGTGTGTGAGTGTGTGTGTGTGTGTGTGTGTGAGTGTGTGTGCACTCAGTCTACTCAAACTTGAGGTTTGCAATATGGCAGAGCTCTTAAGTGCTCGATTTGCTGGTGCTACTAGGCTACTGGGGTACTGGGGCTGCGGGAAAATCGATGAGGAAAAACTGTGAAAGAAACTTAAAGATGTCATGGCAACTATTTAGCGGGGGCGCAGGGTGTGTATTTCTTCTTCTGTTAATCAACGCGATAGAAATATAAGCGGAAATTATGGTTGTGTGTGCGTGTGTGTGTGGGTGTGTGTGTTGGGATGCCTGGAAGCTATGCAAATTGTATGGCACTTCACATCATAAATTTAACTACATTTGCGACACGTGCTCGATAATTCGGTGAAAAGAGAAAGGCAACTATGCGGCTTCCCGGTCCCAAAGACGGCAGCTAACAATGCGCGCAATTTTATCAATCGAGCCCAACCCCACAACAAAGGTAACGTGGGTGTGCGTGTGTGTGTGTGGGTGTGTGTGGGTGTGAGTGTGTGTTGCTGTAATAGAATCCAAGTGCTCAAGTGTTGCCTTTGTGAGCATTTGAATTGCTCCTGTGATTGCAGACAAGCGCGTTGACAACCGCTTTGAGGGCGAAGTTTCTGAATTGACGCCCTGCAAGTTGTACGATTTGTGGCATTGTTGTTGCAAATCGGATCAAATATATATTTTATTACGACAGACAGAAAGGCGACAGTTTGATAAATATAGCAATCAATTTATCAACGGTCCAATGCCCAGCACCTGTTGGTCCTTGCTTTTATTCTTCTTTCTATCTTTTTTTTCTATTTGTACACGCCTAACAACTGCGGGTAGGTAATACGATTTTGTCACGAAATGTGTGACGCATTAAAAGAGACGAGTATTCGATAAGATAAAAAAATATTTAATAAATAAATGAAATATTAAATAAAATGAAAAATAATAAATAAATGAAAAACATGTGAAAAAAAAATAAAATAAATAAAATTAACGAAGAATAATAAATAAATAAATTTAAAAACAACATAAATAAAAAAAAAATTTGAACAAAAAATAAATAAACGAAGTAAAAATAAAATAAATAAATAAATGAAAATTAAATAAATAATAAATAAATAAGTAAATGAAATGAACATAAATATTATATAAATCAAATTAATGAAAAACAATATATAAAGAATTAATGAAAAATATCAATTATAAAATATAGATAACTACTGAAAACGATAAAAAAGAAATAATTGGAAAACAAATAAAATAATCAAATATGAATAATATGATAAAAAAATAATAAAATTAAAAATAATATCAAAGAAATCGCGAAGTGTCCGAATATCATATTTATTTTGCATTTAAAAGCATCATTGAGTCAATTTTCTCTTTACTTTTTCCTCTTTTTTCCTCACATAAACTGTTTAAACTCTTCTAGTTATCATAAAGATGGCTGGGCAATAATAAGATCTTGGCAAATCAGGCTTATATCAATTAGTCAGATCTTGCTTGGGATCAGATCGTTATCCGAAGGTGCTTATATATACACTTGCATTCCTGCAAGGGTATTTAAATTTCGGCTACCTTAGCCCATCTGCTTTTGAACTTTCTTATGGTATTTGTTGCCAAGTTTGCTATTTCGCAATCATTTGCCAATTTAATCAAATTGAATGCAGGTGCCAAAAGTTTGGGCTACAGCTATGAAAAATCATGCCCATTGTTTGGGGCCAGGTAAATTTGTGCATTTTATTGGCTACACACTCACCTGAGTGTGTGTGTGTTAATTTTTGTACGTTTGCTGAGCGGAAATTGAAAACGAATCTAGTTTGCACTACGCTGTTTGATTTGCTTGATTGGTTTTGCCTCATCTGCCAACTGAGCCGTGTGCGAGTGTGTTTGTGTGCCAGTGTGTGTATGTGTGTGGCATGCTTATAACACTGACACGCCCCTTATCATGCGCGCTGTCATAATAAATGACATGGCAATTTATAAATGCAATCCCAACACTACGCCAAAGACTTTCGGCCATGTTATTAGGACATCAACTCTTAATATGCGCATACTTATATATGTGTGTGTGGATTTAAAAGTGTGTGTATGCTGCGTAGCATCCTTGAATTACTGCTCAAAACTGGAGTTGGAAAATTGCTGGTAGGCAAAGATATAAAGCGGGCGATAGGCAGGATAGACCACAGGAACAGCAGACGGGAGCGGACAGGGGGGGACACACCTTGTGCGTGTGGCAGTCAGAGGCGCGCAATAAACAGGTGGCAAATTTGTGAAGTGACAACAGAAAATGTCAAAAAAAAAAACAACGCGTGATATATTGTTGCAAATAAATTTATTTTATTTTACTTTGGAAAAAAAAACGCCTGGCACGTGGCAAACGAGCAGCTATAATATGCCCCGCCCACTGACCTGTTATCTAAAAAATAAAGAAAATAAAAATACGAAATTGTGCTAAATATGACAGCAAGTCGTGTGTGAGGCCTACGTGACGCAACTGAAAAGTGACCCGTGCAACATGCAATAAATAACTAAATGAGGGCTCAGCACAGTTGATGCCACATAATCAGGCATGTTGCGAGCTGATAATTTGGCTTATTTCCGGCATAACCCAAATACATAAATAATAGCACGTGTTTACGAGCATAAAATACTAAAATATTACGAGTTAAATCAACTTTTAACGTCTGCCGAGATAGTTTGTTAAAGTAAACGAAGCATTCTTCAGCCTAATTAATTGAATAAATGAATATATAAAACTAGGACATGAGCGTAAAGCTTATTATAACTAATAAGCTGATTCTTAAGATAGATTTTAAAATAGTTTGAGTATATATTTGGATAATCCTCCTCCAACTCCAGCAAAGCCTTAACACACATTTTTGGCCAAAAACCATTTGGGAATTCTAATGGAAAAATGTTGTTGGGCGCATTTTTCTTTCTCACCTTCTCTCTGTTTGCTCTATTCCCAAACAGCACTTATGTACTTTAACTTTATGCAACTGTACGTTTTAGCCAAAATGACGAACTGCTATTAAAGCGTACAACTTCCTTTTAGAACCAAAGTGGCATCTAATGCCACCTGTCGCTGTGGAGCAACTTTATAGCCAAGGTTGGCAGCAGAGCCATTGGCAATTGAGCTTTACCTTCAAACAACTCGCATACAAATGCATTTAATGCAAAAGCAAATACACGCTAAAAACTATACAGACGCACAGCCTTGGGCGCCCGCCAAAGTATGCAACACTTTTTTGTGTGTGCGGCCCTGCCAGCCGCAGCAAGGACAGCCATAGCACACACCCACACACACACCCACACACACACACCCACTCACACACACACACACACACCAAGCAGACCCCTCGTTGCGGTCGTCTGTGTGTGTTTGTGGGTGTGTGTGCTTTTGCGCTTTGAGCTTTGCACTTGGATCGGCTCCATTTTGTTTGTCGAGCCAGCGAGATACTCGACTGAGCATTGCTGCAAGCTGTTGAGCCCTGTAAGACTCACAGACAACAACAAATGGTCCAAAAATGCGCTCCTTGATGCTCATGCATGCGCATAATAATATCAAATGTCCTTGCCCACTTTTAAGAAGCCGCCTTGAAAGAAAAAGAAGAAAAAACAACGATACACAAAAAAAAATCAACAAAAACAGGCAACACAACAAAACACGTGTGTGCTTCTTTGGGGCTGATGAGTTCAAGGCACTGACATTGCCAGTTCAAAATAATAAGATTCAGTCACATGTTTGAGTTACACACGAACAGATACCCTGTCAATGCTCTGAAAGTGCGGCAACTTGGCTGGGTATTTTCACAAACTCGAAGGCTATTTAAGGAACTTCGATAACAAGTTGCAGTGCCTTAGCAGAGTTCTTTCCCTATTTGTAGATCTCCTATAAGAGACTCGTAACTCTTTTCAAAACGGGTTACCAATCTTGCCAGTAACTGTATATATCCTTTGTATGTATAAGATACTCTGTAGATAATTATATGGAAACTTTTTTAGAAACATGATTTATGGAGTGAGGTGTCAGTTCGCTGCCCAAGCAGAATATACCCGCTCTGCACAGTAGCTGTAGGGTATAAGCAGTCATTTCCATTGTTATATTGTAAATATAATAGAATATACAGCTCGTTTTCTAGGTACCTTAGGAACTCATGCTCAATGGAACAAGTTTTCAGTAAATTTTCCCTTTAGTGAGTATACCCACTTCTAAAGCGAGCACAGGGTATAAGCAGTTCCTGTAGTGCTTTACTTGCTTCAAAAAGCTCTTCCCAACCTCATGAACTGAGTACTCTATAGTACATAGTATCTATTACCAACGGTACTACAGGGTATAAGCAGGCTTTTCTCCTCTGTGTGTGTGTGTGTCTGACATCGTCTTTCTGTGCACATTAAAATGTGCTGTGCTGTGTGTGTATGTGTGTGTGCGGCTGCCTGTGAGTGTGTGTGCCATTTGTTTATGTGGCTGCTGCTTCTTAGAACGGATTAGGCAACAATTGTCTGTTGTTTGGCATTTGTGGGTTTCAGCCTTCGACAGAGGCGGGCAAAAAAGGAATAAAAAAACACGGAGAAAATATAAATTGTTATTTATGTACGCAATGGAGCAGAAAAACAAAAGGCTATTAAAACGTATACTAAGCTTGGCTAAGCACAACAGAGCTGTCCACTTGTTTGGCGAAACTCTTTTGTTTTGGGCGTAAAAACTAAACTGTTAACACGAATTTTTTGGAACCTTTTGATATGCAACTGAACAAGTCGCTGTTTTTCTCTTTTTGGAAACCATTTGCACCCTGTTCCATGTGTACGTTGTACGTTTGCACAGCACATTAGCCAGCTCCACAAGCACAAAAACCCATAACCCACTAAAAACCAACAACCGATATCCATAACCAGCCATACCAACTCTTCCATGCTCCAGCTCTTCCATACTCCCATCTCTCTATATTTATAACATTTTTGCTTTGGTGTTTGTCTTTTTTAACATGCGGAAAATGAACTGAATTATTCTAGCGTTTATTTTAAAAGTCATCTACGTTTTTCTTTAAACTCGTGATGTTTTCTTTTTATTTTTGGCTGTTAGTGGTTTGTTAATCGTAATTTATGCATTGCTTTAGAGTTAATGTACGCATTCATAGCGAAAAACCTGCGTTAATTTTCCATTAGCTCTCTCCAACTGTTCCAATTCTCAGGCACACCAGATGCCACACAAATGGCACAACGTTGCCTTCCTATCGCCGATGTTTTGCGATCATTGCGGCTCGCTCTTGCACGGCATCACGCACAAGGGTCTCAAGTGTCGAGGTAATGTCCAACTGTGTGTCCGAACGGAGACACTCTCTCTCTCTCTTTTTGTGTGTGTGTGCGTATGTGTGTGTGAGTTTGTTGAGTAGAGATGCGCGCGTGCTACGAAAAATTATTTGAACAAAATAACGAACAAACATTTTCTTAAACTAAGATTAAAAATTAAATAGTAAAATTAATTAAAAATAACTGATTTTATTATACCAATTTTTTTTTTATAAATTAAATTATAATTAAAGCAAATTAATAATAAACAATTTAATTTAATTTTTAAAAGTTTAAAGACATTTAAGTTAATTTAAAAAATTAAATTAAACTTATATAAATTATTTCTTTTTTTATTTTAAGCAACTATTTGTTCGTTTCATTTTTTATTAGGCCTTGGTTTATCTTTATAATTGGAATTTTTTAATGATTTGTTGACAATTGGTTTCTTTGACTTATTTATTTTTTAATTATTATCGTTTTTATTTTTCAGCATATATTTATTTTATTGTTTTTAGTTTTGAAATATATTTATTTTTTAGGTTTTTTTGCATGTTATTTGAAGAAACAAATTTTTGCTTTTCCTATTTTAAATTTATTTAAGTTAATTTGATATCAAAAAGATTTGATAATATTAGGTTTATTTATTTTAAATTGATTGCTTTAGTTATTATTATATTTTCTTTTTTATAAGCCAAAAGAATTTGTTCCACTTAAACAAAAATTATCAAATCTGAAACTTTTTTTTTAATTTTTTCGTATGTTATTTTAATTTTTATTTGTTTTTAAATACTAAAACAATAATTTTGAATTTATTTCAGCATAGTTTTATGAAAATACGTTTTTTATTAGTAATATTATATTTCATTATTAATTTTATTATTTTTTGGAAATATTTGTGCTTTTGGTTTATTTATTTTTTTATTGTATCATTTTTCGCTTATTAATTTTAAAGCTGCATTGTGATGCCTTAACGTGCACTTTCGTGTCACGCGCTCATCTCTAGGCTAGAATCTCTTTTAGCATCTAAGCAAACGTCTCGTCTGTTGGTTGAGTTCGCATTTTTGGATTGTTGCAATTTACAATTAGCTGCGCTTTGTTCCGACTCAAGTGCGCACTTGCCACGTTCTGTGTGTGCTTGTGTGTATGTATTGTGTTCGCTGTGTGTATTGTGTGTGTGGATGTGACGCACTTGAGTTTCTGTTGATGCTATTGTTGTTGTCGCCATTGCGCTTGTTGTTGACACGTTGCCGCCCTTGCACCGTGCCACGCCCCTTTCTAATGTTTGTTTGCACCTTAGCAGCTTGTTGTAAATTGTTTTTGTTGTTGCCACTAGAATTTACAGCTGCCTGCGAGAATTCGCATTGCCCGCTAATCATATCAACAATATTTGTTTTAACGCCGCATTGCAAATTGCGGCATTTGAATGTTAATTATATTACTTAGTTTTGTTGTCCTTTTGTTTTGAATAATTTTTGGTTTGCCGCAAAAAACAACAACAAAGAAAAAGAAAGAAGATAAAACTACACAATTTTCCAAATCATTTGTTAGACAGCGCAAATTGTTGCCTTAATATCCGGCATGGCCCCTTGGCAAACAAATAATTTACTTACGCCTCATTGCCTCGGCCAGGCAAACAAGTAGAACCACAGCGACAACAACAGCAACAATAACAATAGATAAACAGACCACTCCACTCCACACACACACACACACACATACACACTCGCACACACGCATTGAAAACAGTCCCAAGCAAACAGATTGCAAATGGAAATGTAAATGTGGCAACAGAAAATTCTCCAACAATAAGCCGCAGCCGTTGCCGGAAGTGCGTGTGTGTGTGTCTGTGTGTGTGACTGTCATTATCGAGCGCCAATTTTGTGCATATGTGCGTGTGTGTGTGTGTGTGTGTGTGCATGTGTGTTATTTCACCCAGCTTTATAACGTTTACAATTCTATTGCAATTGTGTTTTTGGTTTGCCTCATTTGTGCTTCTGAATTATTGAGCATATTTCACATGGTTCCCACACAGGATATTTTCACAAACAAAAAGATATCACAATAATTGAATTATTACAAGCGATTGGAAAATTGGTTAATCAAACAAACTGAAAAGCACACGACGTCCCAAAGCAACTCACATAAGACAATTGACAAGGCTTTGACAAGTAAATAAGAGTTTGAAATCTGGCTAGAATATTTTTGCCGAGCTCTGGAACTTTACGGGTCATTTATGCAGTAAACATTATCAAGGTTTTAAGATATCAATTTTTATCAATTAAGATTAGAATTCAATTAAAAGTTTCCTTCTGGTCAAAAATTTGACTATTGAAAGAGTCTTGTTTTAGGAATAGAAGAAAATTTATAAGCTAAATTAATTTAGAGCATGAACAAAGTAGCATAAAATATTAAAAAAGACTTAGATTAAAATTGACCTGAACTACGCGTTCAGGATATTGAAAGACTTGCAGAGGGGTTTCAAATTTATGCTATAATCCTTATGGACTGGCAAAGCTACAAATTACGTTGATACCTAAAACAACTATGGAATATTTGCGGAAACAAGATTATTTGGCCTGTTTTTCAGACCAGCAAAGCGGCCAACTTTAAACTCATCGGAAGGCCCACAAAAAACTGCTGCCCAAATATGCAATAACAAGGAAAATAAGTCTTTTAGGCATAAACCTAATAACAGCATACCCTGTAAAAAGTTAGTAGCTACGTGAGCTACGGCAGCAAATTGTCAACTAAGCCGAATTGAAGTAGAAATTTTGTGCACTTTTATAGTACATATATTTTTTACATAGCTCAAAGTGTTGCATGCTTCAGCCAGAAATGCAATCCTCCAATTTAGATGCACTTATAGGGTATTTAAAATATATAGTAAGCCAGCATATGAGGCTATATAAATAAATAATTTTACGCAAAAAAGGGGCACACGCAAAACTGGGCCACACACACAAACACACCCACACTTGTTGTTGTTGTTGTTCTTTTTGCTCCACGAAATGTGGCACGCTAAGGGAAAACCTTTTTATATTTCCTTTTTGTTATTTGACGTTGTGTTTTTTGTTGTGTGCCGCAAGGAAGACGAAAAAAACAACTCTTTCATATTTTCATTAAACACAACACACAGACTGCCCAACTGACCAGCCTGCCACGCCCCAACGCCCTAGTAAGCTTGTGGACATCAAAAAATGATTACTTTTTCCATGCGGCGCAAGCAACAAGCGAAAGTTTCACAACAGAAAAAAAATGAAAATGAAAATGAAAATACGTATACGCCACGTGCGCCTCAACAGCCAAATGACGTCGATGCAGGCGCCCAATGGCGCATACTTTTCGCAGCGGGTGTGGGCTGTGAGCGGTGTCCGAAGTAATTTTACACATGAGCAAAAGCGGCAAAAGAAAGCGAAAAGAAAATAAAAATAAAAACACACCAACAACAACAAAAGCGAGAAAATGCCATGAAATCAGCCAATGATGCAGCGCCCCAGGACCGAAAGGCCTGACAATCATAGCGATATATGCGGATGAACATGATGATAATGAGCGATGGGTTGGTCAATTACAGTTAACATCATGAGCAGGTTTAGAGGGTGGATAGTGATGTTATTGACTCGCAGATATCCTGTAAAACAATTTAGACTAAGAGCAACTATATAAGCTGGGTTTTATTATTTTTATTTTTGAATTCCCTTTTTTTATATGCATTTTCCGTTTTTATAAATTGCAGCTTTGATTTTGATTTATCGCTACAACGATGCTATCGATTAGTATAGTATCAATGTTATCGATTAGTTAGTAGATTAATCCAAACACGAAAAGAGCTGAAATTTATTTTTATGAAATGTTTTCCTGGGCCTATATATATATCTATATATATATATGGGCTATATTTTTGTTAGTTAAATGTTAATAAATAGTAAATAAATATTTACATGGCTTAAAGTTTATGAAACAGTTAAATTCCTAGTTAGGCTTGAGCCTTCTTTGAATAAATATCTTGAGGCTTCTTCGAATAAATAGCTTGAGGCATATAAGAAAATAATAAGGAATTATTAGCACTTACCGAAATCAGATGAGTTTAAAGAACTGTTCGTTTAACTAATACTTCCGAAAATTCCTTAAAAATATGCCAACTTAATATTCCGCTTAGCTCACTCAAAAAACCTGCCTCTCCTGTTTGGCTGCTCCATGTTTCAGGGAATTTTTAAAATTCTATATACGAATTGAACACATGCGTCTCCAGTGCAAAATGAATTAAAATTCCATTTGCAATAATTTCCAATCGAATGCATTTAGAGTACTGCCCAGTGCAACCCTGCTGGGCAACTCTGGCCTGTGTATATGTATATCCTGTGCATATGCCTGCAACATGTGCGCCCCAAACTATGCAACAGTTTTTTCCCCGTTGGCCCGTTTTTGCCGCTGCCAAATTGATTGCGATTGCAGTCGACAACACAAATTGACGTTGATTTTGTATTGCACAAGTGGCGTTCTCTGTGGGCGTGGCAAAAGGATAGCAGGCAACGCATTTGGCATTTGGCAAAAAGAAGCGGATGAGTTTATTGGATTGCCGCGCTGATTGATAACCGGGCGCAGATGTTTCCCAACGTACCGACGAAGTAGGCGACAATTTTTTATTTATTTTCCTTGCAGCGGGTATATTAGTTTTGTCGTGAAGTAGACATATTTGTAGCTAAGAAGTAGGCATATTTACCAATATTAGCAAGTGAATCTAGATATATGTATCTGTCTGTCTGCTTCTAGCTTCTAGTGTCTCGTATTTATATGCCTTATATACAAAATCTTTCGCAAGGGTATTCCAGGCTTCGGCATGCCGAGGATACATTTTTTTTCCTCACTTTCGTATTCAATGGGCTTATGGATTGTGGGGTAAGTACTTGAGCTATATCAAAACTCACTTTATATGCGTGCCCTGTCGCGTGTCCTGTGCGCGTGTGTGTATATATTTGTGTATGCGTGTGTGTCTGTGCGTGTATATCTGCCTCCTGTTGCTATTCCTGTAGCACCGCCAACAGCTAAAGAAATCACTTTCAATCTATTCTCTGTATATTTCTCCCGCCCGAGCTGACCATCTATTTCAATGTTTGCCAAGTGGCCACTAACAAGCGACTTATCTTTATTCCACTACGTGACCTACGACCTGGCAACGAAAACATATTCATTCAACATTATTTAGCATGCGATATGAACGTTCATGCACGCTGCAAGGAGAACGTGCCCAGCTTGTGCGGCTGCGATCATACGGAGCGACGGGGACGCATATATCTCGAGATAAATGTCAAAGAGCATCTGCTCACCGTGCACAGTAAGTACGAGTAATGCACCCAATTCTAAGCGTATTACGACCAAGCTCTTAAGTTGTTGCCAACTTGTTGGCGAAACCCCCAGCCACACTTCACTCCACCTCCCTAGCTAAAATACGACTGTAAAGCGCTTAAGTTTTAACCAATTGCGGCGCTCACCAAGTTTACAATAAGCCTCCACCTCACGCAGAAGTTTACGAACGAGAAGATAAAAAAAAAATACAGTAAAAAATTATGGAAAGCAGTTGAAAAGTTTTTTTCACTAACAAGATGCCTAAAATGTTAAAATTCTGACTGTCTCCTTCCAACGGCAACTGTGAAGTATTATAATTCTGACTTGGTTTACATGTTACACGTCTTAATTTCAGATTTAGAGTACTAAACAATAATATTTCCATTTGTAACACGTTTTTCAACACTAAGTCTGGACTTTAGTGCGAGAAATCCCCGTTTTTCATCTATTTCATTTTATAAACTGGTGATTTTGTTATTTTCACATATTTTACAACACTTTACTTGTAACTGTGAACACAGGTTGGTTCGAGAAAACAGTTTTAAGACCTACTGATTTTGTTATTTTTACATATTTTCCAACACTATATGTGTATCGTGTTAGCATAGCTAAATTTGAGAACTCGATTTTAGGCCTGTTGATTTCGTTATATTTTCCAATACTATACTTGAAACAGGCCCTTTTCATTTTGTTATTATCACATATTTTCTATCATCATGCGTGTTTCTTGTAAGCTTGGCTGAATTCGAGACATTTGTTTTAGGCCCTCTTAATTTTGTTATATTTACGTACTTTCCAACACTATACTTGTAACTGCAAACAGAGCTTATTTCGAGAAATCTATATTAGGCTCTATTGATTTTGTTATTTTCACATATTTTCCAAAAAAAAACACAAATTACTGTAAACATAGCTAAATTCAAGAAATCTATTTTAAGCGCATCTAAAAAATTCCTACTGGGATTTTGATATTTCTTATAATTTTCCAACACTTCATTTTCCCTGCTCCGGCGCCTTAAAGAGCAAAACTCAAGCAAGATTTAGATTTATTTTCTATCCTGTACTCTTAAAATTCGAAATCTGGACAGAAATTGTTTAGTATTCAAGCCTGGTATTGCCCTGCGGCTGCTTTTGTCCCTCAGATGAGGCGCTGGCAAATTGCTTATGATTTGCATTAATTCATTATGAAGAAAACTCTCCACACAATATGCCACATAATGAATACTAAAATGCAGTTGCTAAACAAAAGCGTGATAAAAATATGTTAAGCCAGCTGAAGCAGACTGAAGCAGGCGGCATAGGAGACGACAGGCAGGAGGTGAAAGAAGCGAAGCAGCACGTGAACAATAACAATGGGCCAGGATAATGCGTTGGCATATTTTATAGAATTTTGCGCTTGCACAATTTGCCAGCTGCTGGCTGACTGTTGCAGAAAATACATATAAAAATTCTTATGGTCACGTTTATGATTGCAGTCAAGGAGGGGCGCAATCTCATACCCATGGACCCCAATGGACTGAGCGATCCGTATGTGAAGGTCAAGCTGATACCCGATGACAAGGATCAGTCCAAGAAGAAGACGCGCACCATTAAGGCGTGCCTCAATCCCGTGTGGAATGAGACCATTAGCTAGTAGGATAAATAGATTGTCTGGAAGTTTTCTTTTGCGGCACTCAAAATCTCCATTTTTGCAGCGATCTCAAGCCGGAGGACAAGGATCGACGTATATTGATCGAGGTGTGGGACTGGGATCGCACCTCACGCAATGATTTTATGGGCGCCTTGTCGTTTGGCATATCGGAGATTATCAAGAATCCCACCAACGGTTGGTTCAAGCTGCTGACACAGGACGAGGGCGAATATTACAATGTGCCCTGTGCGGATGATCAGCAGGATTTGCTTAAGCTGAAGCAGAAGCCGTCGCAGCGGAAGCAGCCGATGATGCGCTGCGATACACACACACATTCACAGTCCAAAAAGGACATGATACGTGCCACAGACTTTAATTTTATTAAAGTGCTGGGCAAGGGCTCCTTTGGCAAGGTAAATTGGCACCATTTGACCCGAATTAAAGTTGAACTTGTGAAACTTTTGTGGCATGTGCATGTGCAGGTGCTGCTAGCGGAGCGCAAGGGCAGCGAGGAGCTGTATGCAATTAAGATACTCAAAAAGGATGTGATTATACAGGACGACGATGTCGAGTGCACCATGATTGAGAAGCGTGTGCTGGCGCTGGGCGAGAAGCCGCCGTTTCTTGTCCAGCTGCATTCCTGCTTTCAGACCATGGTGCGTATACGTAATCATTTAAATTGATTAACTAACATAGTTTCTACCCGCACAGGATCGCCTTTTCTTTGTCATGGAGTATGTGAACGGCGGCGATTTAATGTTTCAAATACAACAATTTGGAAAGTTCAAGGAGCCAGTCGCCGTGTAAGTTGTTAGGCATTTGGCAGCCAATTCAGAAGATATCTTATATCATCTTATTATCTTATACCTTCTTTTGGTCGCGGTCAGATTTTATGCTGCGGAAATTGCGGCAGGGCTATTCTTTCTGCATGCCAAGGGCATTTTGTATCGGGATCTGAAGCTGGACAATGTGCTCCTGGATGCCGATGGGCATGTCAAAATCGCCGACTTTGGCATGTGCAAGGAGAACATTATGGGCGAGAAGACGACCAAAACATTCTGCGGCACACCGGACTACATAGCGCCAGAGGTCAGGGTTAAACAGCAGAATTTAAGGAACCTATCTAAATTGGGTCTATTCACAGATAATACTCTATCAGCCGTATGGCAAGTCTGTTGATTGGTGGGCCTATGGTGTGCTTCTCTATGAGATGCTGGTGGGTCAGCCGCCCTTCGATGGCGAGGATGAGGAGGAGCTGTTTGCGGCCATAACCGATCATAATGTATCCTATCCCAAGAGTCTCAGCAAGGAGGCCAAGGAGGCGTGCAAGGGCGTAAGTTGTGCAAAGCTTAATTTATTTATTTACTTACCTTCTCCTTGCTGCAGTTCTTGACCAAGCAGCCCAACAAGCGTTTAGGTTGCGGCGCCTCCGGCGAGGAGGATGTGCGTTTGCATCCATTTTTCCGGCGCATCGACTGGGAGAAGATAGAAAATCGTGAGGTGCAGCCGCCGTTCAAGCCAAAAATTGTAAGTAATTTATCGTATAAATAAAAAAAATCCTTTACTGACCATTATGTCCTGCCGCACAGAAACACCGCAAGGATGTGTCCAATTTTGATAAGCAATTCACATCAGAGAAAACAGACTTGACGCCCACGGATAAGGTGTTTATGATGAATCTTGATCAATCGGAATTTGTTGGCTTCTCCTATGTCAATCCCGAATACATTGTCAGCCCATAAGCAGCTGTTAGGAACAGGAAACGGAAACGGAAACGAAAACGGAACCAGCGAGTTGTGTCGTCAGTTGATATTATTTGTTTATTAAAAAAGACTTCATCATATTTTTTTTTTTCATTTGTTTTTGGTTAGTCGTATCATAATTGTTATCTATGCTAAACGTAAGCAATAATTTGTTGTCTTAAGCTTTTATTTATTGCTTATTTAAATCTTTGACTAATTGTTAGGCACTCACGAGTACACTAAGTTAACATACACGACATATTCATTTAGTTATAGCAACAATTATCAATCATTGTTAAACATTTGCTCCACGTTGGAACTGAAACTCAAAGCCAAAACAAAAGAAATTAAAATTAAAAATATGGAAGAAGAAAAAACGATGAAAAGTATGCAATAAAAACTTTTATTTTATATACCATTACCCAACGCTTTTCTCTCTCTCTCTCTCTTTCTCGCGCTCTCTCTGTCTCTTTCCCTGCTCGAAACTTAACAAAAACTTTTTGCCTAACACAGTCATGCGCTTCACATATACATATTTTCAATTTTGCGAACTATTTGACAAATTTTCAAATTCTCAAGATTCAGATTCAGATTCAAGTATTTAATTAAGCATAAAAAATATATTAATACAATTGAGCAAACATCTCAATGTTATCACATAAAGTTATAGATATACACATGCTCTTTAATTAACTGATCTTCAGCGCCTTCTCACTCTCTCTCTCTCTCTCTGTCTCGCTCTATCAAAACTTTATCTTTCTTTTTAGTCACACTCAGCAATTAGATGAAGGATACTACGTTTCGGTTGAGAGTTTTAAACGTTATTCGATTGTAATGTTGGCCCCTGCATTATAAGCAAATCGAAATATGCGTTTAAGCAAGTTGGCATGGACAATTTAGTATATAAATACATATATACATATATATATTCTAAGCACTTTTCATTACTTTCGAACATTCAGAAATATCATAGCATACTTATGAGCGTATTTCTTATTTGGCACCTTTCAATTAGCTGTATGTGTGTGTATAAATTATATGAATTATAAACGATTTCTAGCATATATTACCCGAATATATGCATACATATAAACGGCATAGAGTCTCAATGTACCATAATAAAAAGAAAGGAAAATAAAAGGCAAAACTAATTGCATAGCAATAAGTTAAAGCTAAAAGAAAGTTTAGGTTTAGTCTAAAAATAAACTAAATTTATTGCTCTTAACTGCGCCAGAAGTCTAGCTTTCCAAAGTCTAACTATAGATGGGATAATATATATATATATATGTATATATATATATATATATATATATGTATAGTACATATGTATGTATTATCTTCGTGTAGAAACTTTAGTACCTAACTGAAATTTAGCTGCTAATTAACTACTGTTTAACTATGAGAAAAGACAATCTACTATAAGCTTAAAACAAACACATGCGTGTTATATCAAGAACTTCAGTTACCAAAAGAAATACCAAAAAGAACAAAAAATAATTTTAAATTTAAATCGAAATTAAATATTTTGTGTAGCGCAGCCTAAGCTAAGCTTTTGTGCCTCTCGTAGCTCTCTTTCTTTCTAGAAGCATAAGTAATTCGAAATACTCTAAAATTTGACGAGTTATATCAACAAAGTTGTCGGCTTTTGCATGAGGCATATATAGAACAAATATACATAAACTAATTATATAAATATATTCTAATAAATATAGAAAGGAATCTTATTAAACGATAACTTAGTAGCCAAGCTATGTGCTAAACACTAGGGCACAAAAACTAAAAACTAACTTAAATTAAATTAACAAAGTAGTTGAAATTTAAAATACAAGATTCGTTTAAAATCTAAAGTAACTTATATATAATTATAAAAAAATGTATAACTCCGAACTTGAAGCATTTAAAAACGTTAATTTCAAACACAGTCGAATATTAAATAATTTAAAATCAAATATATACATTATAAGCAAATAAATACTAATATTATTATTGGAGATAAACTAATTTTGTGACTAAAAATGACTATGACGAGTACCACTTAAAGTTCAAGTTCAACAGATTGTACTCTACACGTAAATTTGCTCGTATATGAAATGTTATACTACATTATTAAATATAAATAAATAAAAATAACTTTATAATTGTGCATGTGTGCGTGTGTAGTACGTGTAACTATAGTTAATTGATTACTTTAATGAATTTGATGGCAACAACAAAACAAAATTTTCAAGTCTGTTTAAAATATTGAAAATATATATTATGCATTAATATTAACATTAATTTTACTATGGAACTATACAAAATGCATATAACAAATATATATAAATATATACACTTATTATTGTTATTTGATTTTTTATTTAGAGCAAAAACATTTTTACAACATACTTCAATTATTTTTTAAGTATTTTTGAACAACTCATATGTGTGTGTTTTTTTAAATCGCATATTTAATTATAAATGAAGCATTAATTTTAGTACAAATTCAACTACAAATAACAACAAATATATACATATATATCAAATCAAATACAAATCTCGATGTTTGCCGTAAGCATACTATATAAAGATACAAAAAACTGAAATTCAACTCAATAAATTACTTCAAAAAATAACAAAAACCCGATATTATTATTGGTGTCTAACCAAACAAACCGCAAGCTAAACTAAAATGCATGATTCGTCGGGGGACATGTTTGTGCGTCTATCGATATACGACATACATATACGTAATTTATAAATCCAATCAGCAATAAATAAAAAAATACACCTGAAATACACCTAAATCAAATGGCATAAGCAGGCATCATGCGTGTATATATACGAATAAAAACTACACTATAATATCAAAATAAATACTAAGCGAGCAAGTTTTCTAGAAGATACAGTACGGAGTCTTACCTGTTCGGGAAAATAGCGCTTCCATTTGCCTTTCTATTTGAAGCTCATTTGCTTAAAATTGAAATTAACTCATTAGCGCCTTTCTATGCAATTCTCATTGGCTTACATTTTTTCTTAGATGAGCTGAAAGTGGAAATAAATGTTATGTATTATACAAATCTATTAAATCATAATAAATACAAAAAAAGAAAGTTCTTTAGTAGATATAATACTGAGTCTTACCACTTCTGGACAAACCGCACAGCCTTTAACGCGTTTCTACGCCATTTTCATTGGCTTAAAATCGTTACTAATAGGTGCTGAAGGACGAAGTAACTTATATGTATTAGACAAATCTACAAAAAAAAATTTGAAACGAGAAAGTTGTCTAATAGATACAATATAAAGTGTTACCACTTCTGAGCAGACAAAACTTTCTTTACCGCCTTTCTACGCAATTCTCATTCTTCAATTCAGTTCCTAAGATGTGATTTCAGTTGAAATAAATTATATTAATGAGTCAAATCTATAAAATTAAAATTAATACAAAACGATTTAATTCTCTAGTAGATACAATGCAGAGTCTCACCTTATCTGGGAAAAAATCCCAATCATTTGCCTTTCTACTCAATTCTCATCTGTTTCACACCGCAATTAAGGTATTAACGCCTTTCTACGCAATTCTCATTGGCTTCAATTGTTGCTAAAGAGTAAATTAATTATATGTATAAGACATAAAGACAGAAGAATTGTTGGTTTAACAATATAATGTAAGCAGAGCATACCAGAAACCCTTGCAATCCTCTGGAACTATAGTCGGTGCTAGGCTTTCGAAACTTGAGTACCTTGCTATCTTTGATTGCTCACAAATTAACATTATGTGTGCGTTAACTATAGATAATCTTATCGACTGAATTTGTGAATAATTAGATAAACATATCGCTCGCACCCATTCAGTATGTCAGCAATCAGTCAGTTAGTCAGACATGTTGGATTACTTTGTCCTGAATTTCGCCAGCAACAAATCCAATTCCAACACCAATTCCAACTCCAGCTACCAGCTCCATTCGAAAGATGTGTGCATGTTCCAGCGCACCACGCCAACTGTAACCATATTCCTGATCTACGGCTTGGTGGTGCCCACTTTGTCCGCGTTTGGTCTGTGCGCAAATTTCATCAACGCTGTCGTCTTTATGCGACCCAAGATGACGCCCTCGGCTTTCACTTACCTGGCCGCCCTTTCCTGGCTGGATTGCGTGTCCTGCCTGCTCATCACATTGACCGCACTCTCGCGCAGCTATTTTTATCAGAGCGCCGCCTGGGTGGCCTATGACTATCAGTGGCAGACGCCGCTCTTTGGCATTAGTACGGGCGCTGCTAATCTGATACTGGCCTGCGTTAGCCTTGATAGATTTATCTATTTGTCACGCTTTACGGTCGGCAACGGTGCACCCAGATTTTGTCGTCGCAAGGTGGCACGCTTCATGATCTGCTTCGTTGTTCTCATCTCCATCCTGGTCAATATGCCGTACTTCTTTTGTTTTATTGTCGACTTGGATACGGGCACCTGCCATGTCACGGACTTCTACTATTCCAAGTGAGTGGACTTTTCGGGCGGCTCTTTCAATGTTATCCTGATTTCTTAAAGCCATTTGCAGGTTCTATCAGGTACACAACTGGTTCTCATTTGCTCTGTTAGCGCTGATACCAGCCGTATTTTTGCTAATTGGCAATACGGCTATCATAATTGCCTTTCGCCGCTGGACCAAGCAGGGCAAAAGATGCCAGCAGAGCAGCTGCAATGACAACGAGCGCACCACACAGAAACGCTATCAGGTATATGTCTAGGCCTAATCCTCCAGTCCAACACCTTTAAATGCTTCTCGTACCACTGCAGCATCAAATGAAGCTCACAGTCAGCATTCTAATTGTCATCACGCTCTATATGGTGGGTGAGCTGCCGGCGCATATGACATCGAGAAAGAGTTCCCTTAATCTGCTTTTTGGCGGCGATACGAATAAAATGGATGAGGATCTTATGGAGCATCTGGAGGTCATATTTATAACACTAAACGCTCTCCAGCTGAGCATGAACATTGTGGTCTATGCTGTGATTAATCCCAGCTTCATGCCCGAATTCTTTTTGTGTCTGCGGGGCGCCTCGGATGTCTGCTTTCGCCTCTGCTGCCTGGCCAGCATGTCGCGTGGCTGTCAGCGCTGCTGGAGCTGGCGGCGGCGTCGTCAGGAGCCGCACGCCGAGGAACGTGTCGTCAGCAGCGTGACAGCCCAGCAACTGCCCCCGGATGAGGCGCCGCAGTGTGGCTGCGAGAGCTGGAGCAGCGATTCCGGCTGCGTTGATGGCGGCCACTGCAAGACGGTGGCGGGCACGTTCACCTTTGTGGATGACTATCAGTGCAGGGCAGAGGCGCAGGCACAACCGGCGGTATTTATCACCAAGGCCAGCGCTTGCCGGCAGCTAGAGGAACAAATCCTGGAGGACGTGCTCAGTTCCTGCGCCATGTGATCTTAGTTAAGATATTATTCAATAAATTAACCAAGTTTGCAGAAGTGTGTAGACTGTGGACAAACTCTCACGAGGAAAGCTATATCCACCGTCGCATGGCCATTGAGGATGAGTTAAGGGTCAGCTCGTCTTATGAATAGATACATTTGTGGAACTGAATAAAAGTTGGGCGCCTGTCGTGTTTTTAAGCATTTATAATTTGTTTAAATATACCGACACGTGCCCATCTCTAAACTGAAGTCGCCAGTTTTAACCAAAGATTCTTCTTATTTATACTTATATAAAACATTTAGTTTGGTTATTTATTCAGATAATCCAAATCTAGATTTCTTCTCGAGTAATCTACTTAACTTAAACATATGATAAAACTGATTCTCGTACTCACGAGATAGTGAAAACACAATTTACAAAGAGGTTCCTCAGCTAAGTATGTCTTATGTCAAGAATGTTAAACTAATATCCAATGAGTTTTGTAATCAAAATAATAAATAATTTTCAATGAGGTTTATGCTTTGACATTCATGTTAAACTAACCTGCAATGGGGCTGGAAAAAAACAGCGCTTAAATAAATATTAAACTTATCTGCATGGGGCTTGTCCTCGAAAACTCCCTAACATGCATGTTAAACTAATTATCAATGAGATTTTTCATAACAGACAGCCCTAACTCGAATGCTAAACAAATTCGCATGGAGTTTGTGCCTTAAAATGAATAAAAAACTAATTTGCAGACTTGTAATAAAACGACAGTCCTTAAGGCTTCTGCCTTAACATGCTTGATAAACTAATTTGCAGTCGACTTATGAACTCAAACTCTCTATATACATTCTATATTTTCTATTTGCCCTGTAGCTTAGATAGAAAATCCATGAGAAATTGATGACGCGCTCGCAGTTCGTCCTCGTTGCGATGCTTGAGCTTGGCGCCCATGCGCTTGATCAGATGCTGTCGGTCGCGTGCGCCACGCTTCATCTCAATGAGTATCACCTTGTCCTCCTCGCGCGTCCAAGCGCCGGTTGAGCTGGGCGCTACGGGCGCCTGCTTGGAAGTGCTGGCTACTTCGATTTTCTGCTCCACTTCATCCTCTTGAACAGAGTTGGCCAACGTGGCCACCACGTCCAGTTTGCAGTCCTCATCGCTGTCAAACTGCGTGGTAATCACATGCTGCGGCGTGCTGCCACTGCTCAGTTGGGTCATCTCTGGCTCAATGTCCATTTTAATGGGTGGAAAGGACTGCTGGGAGAGCGATAGAGTTGTTTCTGCCGCATTCTCAGGCAGAAACTCTTGATCATCTTGTGAGGTGAGCTCTAGTTTAGCAACTGACGGTGAAGTGGTCTTCCGCTTGGCCTGCGCTATGATTTGTATGCCCGCCTTGTTGTCCGGCTCGCTGCCGTCCTGGCTGATCAGCGTGCGCAGGCGCTTTGCAAACTCAATAGCCGGCGAGGCGGGCGCTGGCCCACGCACTTGTGGTTCATGTATGACCACCATGGGCTGCACATTGTAGCGTGGACGCGCCTGCGTCTGGCCCAGAGGCGAACGCACCTTCTTGCTGGGCGACTTGCGCTTGTCTTGCTGTGGCGAGGCGCCGATCATAGACGCATTCACTCCCGACTGAGGCGACACATTGTTCGCAGTCTGGCGACGCGGCGAGGTTTCGCCCAAATTACTGGCTGCCTTCTTGCCGTGCGACTGATGATGCCCATGATGATGGCCCCAATTGAAAGTGCTTCTGTTGATGCTGGCATTCAGGCGCATGGCGTGTGCGCGCAGTGTCATGTCATCGCAAATGTCCAGGGAAGAGCTGCTGTTCTCCTCGTCGCCGGTGGTGGTGTCAATCACCAGCGTACGGTTGGTATCATCCTCCTCACTGCGCTCTGCCGCATCATCACTGTCCACTGCGCCTGCAGCGTTAATCAGCTTCTCGCCGTGGGCGCGAACCCCATGCGCACAGGTCACGTCGCTGCTGAGCGGCTCGTGACATTGCTCGTTGTAGAGGCTGGCCGCTCGAAAAGACAGCTTTGCTGGCAGCATCACCTTGGCGCCATAAAATATGCGTCCATTCACATATTTCAGTTGACAGCCAGGCGGTTTGCCTTGCGGCGGCGAATCATCCGGCAGATCCTGCAGGGTTTCCGAGAATGTACCGCTGGTATTGCCCAGCACCTCATGCATATTCATGGTCTCCGCGGGGGGCAGAAAACTGAAATATATAATATAGAAACATAAGTAAACACTAGAAGATAACCGGTACTCAGTTTCCCAGCTTTGATCTTCGACAGACGGACGAGACGCGATTGATTTAGCTTTGTCATGAAGACTTAATACTATATAGTAGTATTGTTACATAAATACGCTTATTCGCTATTCACCCGCCCTTAAACTATTTTCATTAGGTGTAGGGTATGTTAAAAGTGCTTACCGCTTCGGCGGCTTGGCCTGTGGAAATTGCTGCACAAACCAATCGCGTAGGAACTGATTGCCCTTGAGCAGGGGCAGAATTTTCGACTGGACCTTCTTTATGCTCACGCTGGGCAGCTGGGCCAGTTCGTTGAGGCATGCGTAGATCTTCCGAATTTGCGCTGGCTGCTTGCAAAAGTAGATGTTAAGCTTGTTGATAAAGTTGCTGGCATTGGTGATCATGAAGTACTCGAAGTATTTGCCCAGCTCAGCGGCCTCCGCAGGTAGCAGAAAGTTGAGAAACACCTCGGCCAGCTCGGGATGATCGGGCAGCAGTAATTTTTCCATTTTCTAAAAGGCAAAGACAAGGCGTGAACTAGCGTATCTAGCGAAAGGGAGATCGCAAAGTACAGCACTCACCAAATACAAATCAACTACCTTATCCTGCTTTGGGTCAAAGGTTTGCAGCAGATGATTGAATTTGTGGCAATCCTCCATGCGATTGGAAGACAGCAACGCCTCTTCAACTTTATCGTAGAAGTTGTAAGCAAAGGCTGCAAAAGGAGCGATGTATTTCAATGAATTAAATTAGCGCCCATGCTGGACTTACTGGCATCCTTGCGATTGCGCTCCTCTGGACTATCCGTCTTGAGCATGTGGCGCAGCATCTCCTCCTGCCGATTGGCTCTGCGAATGCGTGCCGCTTCCTCGCAGCGTTGTCGCTTTTGCTGCTGCGGCGAACTCAAGCTCGAGCTCGTGGCCGGCACCGGATGTTCCTTGCTCTGGCAAAACATATTCAGTTCGACAAGCAGCTGTGTGTACAATTCGAGCGCCAGGAAGCGTCTGTGATAGTGCTGCACGGACGGAGCGTTGGCGTAGAGTTCGCGCTGCTGCTGCAGGTAGCTGGCGTATGAGGTGATTAACGTTTGACAGCGTAGCTGTAGCTTATGGCGCAATCGCTGTCGCAACACGTGGTAGCGACTGCGCGACGGCGATGCCGACGTCGACTTCGCTGTTAAGCCGCGGCGTCGCTGCGCACGTGCAAAGAGCAGCCGCTTGTAAATTTGATAACGCGCTCGTTTGGAGCTGTTGGCAACGTCCACTTTTTGCTCCTCGGTCTGCTCTGCAGACTGGTCCGACTCTTTGATTTGGACTGTTTGCGTGAGTGCATCAAAGCAGAGACTCACTGCCGGCGGCGCATCGTCCGGCAATGGCGGCAGCGGCGGTGGCAGCGCCAATGAACTGCACTCGCTGGTTGGATAAAGCGTGCGATTTATGTTCGCCACATTGCTGGCAAAATTATTGGACTGAAAGGGCACAGAGACACCAGCTCCAAAGGTATTGACGACGCCTAGCTCACCGCCAAAGACGTAGTTAACATTGATGGTCAACGATGAGGACTGATTTTGCTCGTCGCATTTGCGGCGAGGCTTGCGCTGAGATTGTGTATGGGACTTGAAGTTGCCTTCTTCTTTGGTTTGTGTGTGCGTAAGTGGAGATGAATGCGTTAAGCCCGTGGCACTGCCATGTGGCGCCGCAGCCTCGCCCAGACTCTCGGGCAGCAATAATTCTTCGCCCACCGCTTCGCGTACAAATTCCAAATATGATACGCTTGCTGCCGATGAGGCACGAGCTGGAAGTGGTTTGTTGCTGCGACGGGTACGTTTGTCGTTGTTCCAGTTTTTCTGCAACAAATAACGCCAATTCAAATTACGTTTGCTTCAGTTTTATGGCAAAAATCTAGCGTATATTTACAAATTCGCTCTAAACAGTGTGAATTGTATTTACGTTATCGATAAATCGCGTTGTTTTTTCGATTACAAAGCGTGAGATTTATGCAGAATACCAACAGTGCTGCCCTCTTGACAAACAGCTAAAAACGGCTGAAATTAATAAGAGCTAGGTAACGGAATTGCCGAAACACCCTGCTTATCTTTATTTATAAATGGTGTCAGCTTCAACTTTTTTTCATTCGTTGCTGTTAAAATCGCAATGGATAAATGTATACAAACCGTATCTAAGGATAACATTTTAAGTGAAAAATAGCTAAATTGGTTACACTGGGCAGCAACAAACGCTGTAAACAGTCAGTGATGGAAGTAGCAGTGGATAATGTTATCGATATCATATTGTATTCCAATATAAAACGTTTTATGCGTTATCGTTCTTTTGCACATCACTGCGCGTAAGAGCAAAATAGAAATTTTGTTTTTCAATTAAATTCACGATTTTTTGCACTTAAAAAGGCCCAAATTAACAAATCTTTAATTTGAATAGGTATTGCCGTGAGCAAGTCCCTTCACAACGAACCAAACAAGGCCATTGGAACAGCAGCTGGCAGCTAAAACAAAAACTGACCACGTCACATAGTATTTGCATTCCGCACACCCAAACAATAACAACAAAATGAGCAAAGTAACATTTAAAATAACTCTCACATCGGATCCCAAGCTGCCATTCAAGGTGCTCAGCGTGCCGGAGGCAACGCCATTCACAGCTGTGCTCAAATTCGCCTCGGAGGAGTTCAAGGTGCCCGCAGAGACAAGCGCCATCATCACAGACGACGGCATTGGCATCAGTCCGCAGCAGACGGCGGGCAATGTGTTCCTCAAGCATGGCTCCGAGCTGCGTCTCATACCCAGAGATCGTGTGGGGCACTAGCCTACAGCTTAGACTTAGATTCTTATCCGTTTATTAACCGTGCATAGAGATTTTATTTTCCCCGAATTAAACATGTAAAACTAGTCAGTATTACCCGGTTTTGCACGGGCAGAGTTTTTTTTGACATCCAATATTTCGACCCATTGGTGAAAATCATTCAATCATTGATCATATTTTAGATATTTGATAGGTTTAAAGACAATCGGACAAAAACAAGTCACACAACAGCTTTTCACCGATTTTCCACACTTGGTCGTGGAACTTTCGAAAACCTTAAGTAACTTGCATCACAAAACTTAAGTGTGAAAATTTTAGCTTAGCTCATGCGGTGAGCTGTTGTCTTTCATAAATAATTCAATCCACATCAATCAAACTTAGATTAATATAGATAGGCCCACTCACCTGTATATAGTACTTCCAGCCACTGGGCAGCGCATAGTATTGTTCGCGCGGCGTTCGCACTACGCCGCCCTCGAAGCCCAGCAGGATTTGGTTAACGGGCGGGGCGCGCTCGTGCTCGAAATAATACTTGACAGGATTGTACTGCTCCATGTCGCAGAGCTCCTTCACCTTGTAGAACAGCCGCCTGCCCTGCTTTCCGTGCAACAGATCCTTGGCCATGCGGTTGCAGGCAACACGAATGGGATCTGCGTTTTTGTGCAACTTCCGCTTGGCGGTCTTAATGGCGTTCAGATGCTTCTCCAGGCCCATGGCAATCAGCTGATACTCCGAAGGTGCGTATGCGGTGAACTGCAAGGTTCGGGGCTGAAACGCCATACGCGGCAGATATTGGGGATACATAAACACCTTACTGTCCAGCATGAGATCCATGATGCGTGGCGGCAGCCGTGGCACCTGTCGTGTGTGTCCGTCGCTAAATTGGAGGAGGAGGCGGATTAGTTGAAAGACGAAGCAGTTAACTATCCAGAACTCACGTTAGTTCCGCCTCTTTGTTAATAAAACGCATCATCTCTTGGTTTTGCTCCTCGTACTCATCGCTGTTGAGATCGTGCTGCCATTTGTTAATGAGCTCCACGGCGCCATTCAGATTCCAGCAATTGAAGCTGGCGTCCTTAGTGGCACGCTGCTGCAGCTCCTCCAGCATTTGCCGGGGCTTCTCGGCCATGGCATAGAGCATGGGATGCGAGTAGGTCTGCAGGAATGTCTGTGTCAGCATTTGGGTGTGTATGCGTAGCTGCTGCTGTAGGAGATCATGCTGCGTCTGCGTAAACCCCTTGACATGGCTTTCAGCGGGCTGAGCCTTTGGCGTTGGCGTCGGCTTTATGTGACGCAAGCTCTCAAAGTGTGCCTCATACTCGGAGTGTATGTGCTTCCGGATGGACAGATATTTGCAGGAGAAGTTAATGTCATAGGGCTCACAGGACTCCGGACGTGGAGCCTGTGCCTGGTACTCGCTCTCCGCCAGCGGCTGTGCCGGCATACTGGCCAGCACCTTGGCCAGCTGAAAACAATTGGGCTGACCTGGCAGCGGCACAGCTATGAGTTCCGGCGGATGCTGTCCAATTGCACTTGGCGAGATGTTAACTATTGTGTAGGAGCCATTAAAATGGCTGCTATTTAACGTGCTTTCCGCAATGGGCACCGGCACCAGGCCGGACAATGCGCTGGGCGTGGACATCAGCTGTGGCTGAAAGGAGTCCAAGCCCGTCAGATTTGGCATGGTCATGTCAGCTGGCGCAGTTGTTCCGGGCGCATCAAAGTCAATTTGGCGCGTCACCTGCTCAATGGGATCGACAGGCGCTGCGACTGGCGCAGTTGCTGCAACATCCTGTTGAGCTAGAAACTTTTGCGGCGTCTCCAATTCAATGGAGTCCAGTGATACGCCCTCCTGCAACAAACCCGCAAACAGTTCCGAGACCAAATCAGTGAGCTCTTTCTTTGATATGTTCACATCGCGCAGCTCCTCGGCGTCCACGGTCACCATTTCAGCAGCCACATACTCCGGATCATTGATGGGATCGTCGTCATCGCCCAAGAAGCTGTTGTCTATATAAAATATATACAGTATATAAGTATTTGTCCTGATTGATTGACTGATTGATGGACTGATTGATGAACTCACAATTATTTACTGAATCATTGGCTTACTGTTTTACGACGGAGCGACTGATTGATTAACTGACAGATGCACTAATTCAGATTATAACTAACTGACTGATTGATTGACGCTCAGTTGACTCATTTCTTATTGACAACCTGACTGTCAGACCGACATATAAATGACTGACTCGATTGACAAACTGTTTGAGTGATTGATTGAGTGAATGAGTCACGGCTGACCAGCTGATTGATGATTCGATTGACTGACTAGCTGCTCGATTTTCTAATGGCTGACTGATTCATTTCTGATTGCTTGACTGACTTATGAATGACTGATTCGATTGACTCACTAACTGATTGGGTTATTGATTGACTGAATAAGTCATGAGTGACCGATTGCTGACTGACGAATTGACTGCTTTAGTAGCTGACTGCTTGACAGACAGACTGATTTGATTGACTACCCAGCTGATTGACTTACTGGTGATCAATATACAATAACTGACTGATTGACTTATTTCCGACTGATTCGATTTAACAGACTTATTGACTAATTTGGTATGCATTGCACTTACTTAACGGCTTGGAAAAGTCAGTGAGAAATTGCATCCATTCCGCATCATTGGCCGTCATGTCATATTCAGGCACATCGCTCTGTTCAACATCCGGTGGCACAAACTCGGACTGCAAATCCTCGATGGTTGTTTGCTGCAAGCAAAACTTGGAGCGCGTGCGCGTTGCAATACGCGGATCATCGGAATTTTTTTCTGGGGGCAGTTTAAAGCAGCCATCGGAGGTAAACTTGACCGGCGACTCCTCGTTGGCGGTCAATGGGGTTTGCGGTGTGCAGGGATTCGAATCGAAATCGGAGGCCGTCGTGCTCGGATCATCATCCGACTGCAAATGAGAGTGAAATATGGTGTTAATTTGATCGAGCTGGTGTATTTAAAAGTAAGCTCACATGAAAATCATCCTCTTTGAAAGTGTACTCTTCGTCCTCCTCATCCGAGTGCAGATCCTCGCGAATTAACGCCTCAATCTCATTATTTACAGGCGTTTCATTCAGCGGCGGCAGAGTTATGCCCGGCGTCCGATTTAATTCGCGTGCTTTGGCGCGTGTCAGCTTTGGCACCGAGGGTGTCTCTGTTATGATAATGGCGCCGCGTTGCTGCTCCTCGTCGGCAGCGGCCGCCTCGCGCTTCTCGCGCGCCAGCTCATCTTCGGCCTTGAGTGTGACTAGGGCCAGGACATGCTCGTTGCGAACGACACGGCGCACCACTTTGTGCATGTCCTCGCTGCTAATGGCATTGGCGCGTGCCACCTTGCGCAGCCGTCGATCAATCTCTTTGGCATCCTCGATGTTGCAGTCCCCCAGCTGCGAGTCCAGGCTTTGCCTGCGCTGATGTTGATTATCTTTTTCAATGCGTCGCCGTTTACGCGGCTGTCGCCGGTTGTTGTTTGTCGGTGTCGAGTTCACACTGCTGCTGCTGCTGTTCGCCGTTCGGGTGGGCGTCTTCATATCAGCTGCATCCGACTTTTTCGAGCTGTTTGGCATGCTGCTGACACATTTAAATAAGAATTTAGGCGAATTTCACAAGTCCTTCGTGCATCAAAACAAAATTGGGGCCAGTGTTTCCACAAAATGCCGCCACATTAAATGCTATTTATCGTGCAAGGGCTGACACAAAACTATCGAGTTTTTTTTATTGTGCTGTACACTGACTATCGATATTTATACGGGAACTGTTAATTAGCATTGTTTACAGGCAAGCTGGTTTGTGCTTGAGATAATCAAATTAAACAAGTAAAATCGTTCACTTTTAAGTCATTCACTAATTAGTTTTGTTAAACTCTCCTAATTCGCTTCATGAATAGTTTTTTAAATATATATGCCAAATATACCCCCAATTAGCCCAGTTCATGAGCAACTCATTTACAGAACTGAATGTATTGTTCATGAACGGCTCAATGAACCGTTTAGCTTAACATACTCCAATTGAAACAACACAACTCAGATCTGTTAGTTTCTTTTATTATTTTAATATTGTAATAAAAGTTTTATTTGTGTAATGTCAAGTGCATGTGAGCTGGCAAATTGCAATCAATGTGAAAAATGCGCATCTGCATGGTATCGGACTTTTTCTATCCCAGCATCGGCGGCGTCGAGGAGCATGTCTACAATCTTTCACAAATGCTGCTGGCGCTGGGACACAAGGTGGAGCACGTGCATCCTTACAGAGGCAATTCTAATCTAATCTCTTTTTAATTCGTATTTTAAAAAAGGTTGTTGTGCTGACGCACGCCTATGGAGACTGCACCGGCATACGCCACATGACGCACGGCCTGAAGGTCTACTATCTTCCCATTAAGGTCTGCTACAACCAATGCATCCTGCCCACCGCCGTCTGCAATGTGCCCATGCTGCGGGCGGTGCTGCTGCGGGAACAGGTGGACGTGGTGCATGGTCACTCTGCGTTTAGTGCCTTGGCCCATGAGGCTTTGATAGTGGGGGCTCTGCTAGGACTGAAGGTGGGCTCAGGATATTAAACTAATGCAGATAATGTTAAATATGGGATGTAGCTATATTGGGTATTGCCATTAAACCCCCAACTTGTTCCCTTTCCAGACCGTCTTCACGGACCACAGTTTGTTTGGCTTTGCGGATCTTTCGGCTGCGCTGACAAATAAGCTCCTGGAGATCACTTTGAGCATGGTGAATCATGCGATCTGCGTGTCCCACATTGGCAAGGAGAACACGGTGCTGCGCGCTCGTGTTGCCAAGCATCGCGTCTCGGTTATACCCAATGCTGTGGACACGGCGCTCTTTACGCCCGATCCCGCTCAGCGGCCGGTAAACGGAGTCATCAATATTGTGGTCGCCTCGCGTCTGGTCTATCGCAAGGGCATCGATCTTCTAGCCGGGGTAATACCGCGCTTTAAGAACACGCCAAACATTAAGTTTATCATAGTGGGCGATGGACCCAAAAGGGATCTGCTCGAGGAGATACGCGAGAAGACCAAC